GAAGTCTGAACTGGGTCACGCACAAACACGAGGAGCCCCGGGGACCCGAAGTCCTCGCGTTTTTGATTTTGCACGGGGTCAGCTCAGATCTGCTCGGTCTGGAGCAGCTCTGGCTGGGAGGGGCCTTCTCTGCCGACCAACTCTGTCCGTGTCTCTGCGTGGACCGGCGCGGGACAGTGGAACCAGCCACTGGAGGAGTTGGGGCTTTTTAGACATCTGGTCCACAAGGGGAGGGATGGTGGGAAGGCTGGTTTTGCTGAGCCAGGTAGGCTTGCTCGTTGAAGTTGAGGCAGAGACCTCCCACCCCATAGTGTTTTCCCAGGGGGTTTTCTTGGGGCTCAGAATGGAGAAACTTGGTCATTTATAAGCTTCTTCCCTGCAAAGAAGGCTATGGGCCCACCTGTCTCTAAGGCTAATACAGCCCCCTTCTCCTTCCCTGAGACCAGGAGGCCTGGGAAAGCTCTGTGTTTGTGTGTGTGTGTGGGGCATCTATCTACCCATGGAAGATACTCCATATGCGCCCCTCAGCATTCACCTGCCTCTTCCCCATTCAGAATTGTTCCCCTCCTGTCCCCTCCCTCCTATCTCTTTTGCCTTAATTCCCCCAGACTCACCACCCCATACATCTGTTTCTTCTTCAACTGTTCATTCACAACACAGAAATGCATCTGAAAACCTGACTCCCGGAGAAGATGGCCTATCTTCCTTTCTTTTTTTTTTTGAGACACAGTCTAAAGCTGTCGCTCTGGGTAGAGTGCCATGGCAACATCACAACTCACAGCAACCTCCAACTGTTGGGCTCAAACAATCCTCTTGCCTCAGTTTTTTGTATTTTTAGTAGAGATGGGATCTTGCTCTGGCTCTGCTGGTCTTTAACCCATGAGCTCAAGCAATCCATCTGGACCCCCAGAGTGCTAGGATTCTAGGCATGAGCCACTGCACCCCACCTAACTTCCTTTCTTGAAAGGTCAGTTGCCTGATTTCCTTTGGGCTGATGCCATATTTCTTTTGTATTTCATTCATTCTCTCAGACTTTGTGGGGAGGACAGGAACTATGTAAAGGGGAGAAGGAAGGATCTGGTCACACAGTGAGATAGTGCCTGCCAGGGAAGAGCCAGCTTGGGCAAGGGTGGCAGGCACTGGGGTAGACAGGCAGGGGTGTTCATGTGAGTGCAGGGAGGCCCGTGGGAAGAACTCCTGCTGGGAGTCCAGTGACTAGGTTCAAGTTCTGGCATTGCCAGGAACTGCTGAGAGACCTCAGGGGGTTATTTCCCTCTCTGAGCCTCGGTTGACTCACTGGTACGATTGGTGATCTCTAAATTGCCTTCAGCTTGATCTTACACATAAATTCTCTGATATGGAAAGGGGGTTAAGGGATTGAATTTGGTTTTCCTGCAGTTCGCAACTTTTTTTCAGCTCCCAACTTCTTTTTTTTTTTTTTTTTTTGAGACAGAGCCTCAAGCTGTCCCCCTGGGTAGAGTGCCATGGCATTACAGCTCACAGCAACCTCCAACTCCTGGGCTCAAGCGAGTCTCCTGCCTCCGCCTCCCAAGTAGCTGGGACCACAGGCGCCCGCCACAACGCCTGGCTATTTTTTGGTTGCAGCCGTCATTGTTGTTTGGTGGGTCCGGGCTGGATTTGAACCCGCCACCTTAGGTGTACGTGGCTGGCGCCTTAGCCGGTTGAGCTATAGGCGCCGAGCCCAGCTACCAACTTCTTAAGCATCTACTAAATGATTACCAACAACACTTTCTAAGCATTTTGCATACATGGATTAATTTCCTCCTCACGACAGCCTTAAGAAGTAGGTACTATAATATTAACACACCCTTTATATAGACTAGGAAACTGAGGCACCGAGAGGCTAAGTACTGGGATTCAAACTGGGCACCCTGGCTGCAAAATCCCTGTCATTCGCTACCGCGTTCAACATTCTAGGCACTGTGCTAAGTGTTTACCCCAATCCTCTCCATCCTGTAGTTGAGAAACCTGAGACTCAGAACAGTTGAGCAACAGCTGAAGGTCACACAGCTGGGAAGCAGTAGAGATGAGGGTCAGAGCTGGCAGGGCTCCAGAGCCCCTGCTTTCCCCCAGCCCCTCCCACAACCCTGTCAGACTCTCAGGCTCACAAACAAGACGAACCAATACCCCTCCTGTTCAGTGTCTTTTTGGGCAAGTTAGTTCCTCCCTAGGGGGCTCAGTTTCACCATCTAGAGGATGATGGGAATTGGCCCAGCTGAACTTTGAGGTCCCTTGTAGCTCTGTGAGTCTGTGATGGAGAGGTGTGGCATTGCTAGCTGAAAGGGTAAATCCGTGGCTTGGGAACTCCTGGGACTCCACCTGGGGTTGCAGCCAGGAAGCCAGGATGAGGGGGACAAAAATTGAACAAGGTGATGGACTAAAGGGGACACTGGGGAGACTGGGGGGAGGCCATGGGAGCTGTGAGCCTGGGAAGATGGGGCACAAAACAGATGAGAAAGGGGGAAGAGAGATACCTTGGGTGGGCCTCCCAGAGGGCCCTTCCCTTCTTTCCAGGGGTCACCCCAAGCTCAGGGTCGGTGTGTGAGAGCACTGGGCAAGGAGCAGGGGTCAGGCCAGCACTGAGCCACGGTCAGAACTTGTGAGGCACGGCAGTTTGGGGAATTAACATTGCTGGGGGTTTTGTTTTCTCTGTAAATATTTGGAGACATCCAGTTATTCTAGAAAAATGTATTTGAAGCTGGGTGGCGTGTTTGTGTGGTTGGCCTGGCTTCGTTTTCCATGACTGCTCTGTTACATTCTTCCCTGTTAGGAACTGGGGGTTGTTTTCCCATCTGTAACCCCATTAGGATGTACACACCAGCAGGCTCCACACGCACACGTGCTGGGCAGGTTCCCCTCAGGGACTGGCATCGCCCCTGGCCACACGCTTGGGCACACACAGTCACAGCTGCACCTTTTAATGTTTAATGCCGCCGCTGCAAACACCGCTCGACACTGACTGCATCCGTGCCAGGCTCATTCCTCTCAGGGCACCGATTCCCAGCTTGGGGGCCAGCTGACAAATCTTGTTAAAAACCTTCCAGCCCGGTGCATCCTGTGGAGGGTAATGTCATGCATGTGGTTATGAGATTAGAGACCTGGCGTCATCACCAGGCACCTTCATTTTCAAAGGGGCTCTTTTCACTTGGGGAAATTGATGGAATCACTTTCTGCATGAGTGTCTCAGCCCTCCCTCACACACACACCACCCTTCCCTCCCCCCTCCCCCCAGTGCATCACAGCTGGACTGGCCTTCTCTTTAGCTTGGAGAAGTCAGGGCTCTGGGTGGGCACCAGGGCTCATAGCGATGGGTATGGCTGGCCCATGGCAGAGGGCAGTGCCTGTTCCTCTTTTCCCTGCTCTTCCATGCTGGGTGTCCACATTGCTATGGTTTGAATGTACATGTCCTTCCAAGGTTAGTAAATCCTAAGATTTATGTTAGAAGGTGGGGCCTTCGGCAGGGGTTTAGGCCATGAGGGCTCTAACCCTCATGGGATTAATGCCCGTATAAAAGGACTGTGGGGAAGTGGCTGGGCTCGTTTGCACTTCCATGTGAGGACATAGTGTCTATCCCCTCTGGAGGACACAACAACAGAGCCCCATCTTGGAGAAGAGACAGGGTGCCCTCACCAGACACTGAATCTGCCAGTGCCTTGATCTTGGACTTTTCAGCCTCTAAAACTATGAGAGATTCTATTGTTTGTTAATTACCCAGTCTGTGGCATTTTGTCTTAGCCACAGGAATGGACTATGATCTATTACAGGAGAGGCATTGCAGCTGCAGTGGCCAGTGGAGAGGGTAATGGATGGTTCTAGCTTTCAAGCAGGCAGCAAAAGGACCACCCAGCCTATCTGATGGCTTCCACCCTAGACCCCTAATCCAGTGTGCTGTGGTCTCTGAGCCCAGGGAAAGACCCTCCCTCCAAACACGAGCTTCGGGACCGGTGAGTAGGTCAGTGTGCAAACACAATTAAAGGTGGAGTGAGTTTCCAGATATAGAGGTTACCAAGACAATGTGGTCATCTCAAAACTCTGCTCAGATTGCTGTCTCCAGTTCACTGATGACTACATGGGTTCAAGGCCTGTCCCTTGAGCTCTGGAAGGATATTTGCAAAAATGCACACCCTGTCCTCACCTTCTTTCAGCCTCTTGGGCCAGTGTCATTGGACAGGCCCAGAGCACAGCTGAGTGACCTTGTGGTTCTAACCTCTCTGAGAAACAAAGCCTGGGGGAGGGTGGGGAGGAGGAGAAAGGTGGCGGTCAGGTGGGGCCCCAGGGATTACAAAACTAGAACACACTCATTTCCCATTTACCAAAAATGTTTCCCTTTCTTTTCAAAGCTGTTTTTCCCTCAAGGGAAAATTTTTATTTTTATATGAGCGAAATGTTTCTCTCATAATGAATTGAAAACATAACACAAGGAGGAGCTTTTCCGTTCCTGTGACAACAAAGAAGGAAGAAGAAGCTTGTTGGCTGTGCCAGCACGGTCATCCTCCCCATCTTCCACGTTTCTCTCTGTCCTCTCCTCCCATCCTAGCCAAGCTGAGAACCCAACGCATGTCATCCCCACCCCAGAGCCCTGGCTGGGAACGTGGCTTTGGTCAGGCTGAAGCAGCTGACCTGGCCTGCAGGGATCACCACACCATCCCCTGTCTGAGAGCCTGGGAGGACAAGGTGGCAAGTGAGCATGCTCTCAGGGTGGCCTGGAGGAAAGCCAGGGAATCAGAGAGAGTTAGTTTGACTGGCAGATGTCCTGTCCTCATCCAGCCGAGAAGTCTTCCCACCATCCTTGGTCTCGTTACACAAGGCCCAGTTTTCTGGAAGGCCTGGCCTGAGCCAGCCTGGGATGACTTCTTTCTAGGTCAGAAGACACTTCATTCAGAGGATTCAGCAGCCCCACCCACCTCCTCGCCTTTCCTCCAGCAGGTGTGAATGGTTTCTTGACTTTCACTTTTGATTTTTGGTTTAGGGGACAACAGCCTCAGTTTTGGGGAGTTGCCCTTTCTGGCATTAGCTTATCAGCCATGTCTCTTTTCAGCCTTGGTTGAGGTAGCTAGGCTTGGGGTTAAGCTCTTTTCTGGGGCACAGGTTTTCACTCTGAGGTCAGAGCTGGTTTTACCTCAGCAGCTTTTTTTCTGGGAGTGGGGGGTATGTCCTGAGTCATTGTATCTGCTCCCTGTCCCCACCCCAGGGGGGCCCTGGATAGGTCCCTCTAGTCCAGACAGAAGAGCTGCCTATGGGGAGAAGGTGGTGGTGGTCTCAGCCTCCACACTCATCGAGGTCCGCCGGGCGTGCCGGCAGGAGGACCACTGCCGCAGCTGCTCCTGGCTGAGGCAGCCCAAGTCCTTGAAGAGCTTGAAGAGGTCATTACGGAACTTGACGCCGATGAAGGCGTATAAGAAAGGGTTGACACAGCAGCGGACGCAGGCCAGGCTATAGGTGACATCATAGGCGATGTCAAGTTGCTTGCTGTGCTCACAGCTGCCACTGGTGATGTTGAAGTTGGCCATCGTCTTGGCCAGGATCACGCCATTGTAGGGCAGCTGGAAGACGATGAAGACCACGACCACAGCGATGATCACCTTGATGGCCTTGTTGCGCTCAAAGTTGCGCGCCTGGAGCAGGGTGAGGATGATCACAAGGTAGCAGAAACTCATGGCCAGCAGGGGGACCAGAAAGCCGATCACCATCTGGGCCACATGGACGATGATAAAGGCCTCCACGTGCTCGCTGATGAGAGAGCATCGCAGCGTTTGCTCGCTGTTGGTCTTCTGAATGCCACTGTACAGCAGCTCCGGGGTGGACAGCACCATGGCCAGCATCCAGATCCCTGCACAGGAGAGCTTGCTGATGAGGAGGACGCGGGCACGGTGGCGGTGAGCCGAGACGGCCTGGACGATGGCCACGTAGCGGTCAATGCTGATGCACAGGAGCAGGAGCATGCCGCTGAAGAAGCTGATCTTGTAGATGCCAAAGATGAGCTTGCAGAAGTGGACACCAAAGACCCAGGACTTGGCCGCACTGTAGGCCCAGAAGGGAAGGGTCAGGAGAGAGAGGATGTCTGCCATGGCCAGATTGAGCAGGTAGGTATCAGTCATGGTCTTTAGCCTCTTGAAATAGATGTAGGTCAACACGACCAGCCCATTGCCCAGCAGGCCCACGATGCAAATGACTGAATACATGATGGGGAGGAACCAGGCCTTAAAGTTCCGCACATCCTTCTTGAAGCACAAAGACTCCCACAAGGTGTAGTCCACCGTGGTGTTGTCCCCGATGTAGTCATCTGTGACCTCATCTTGGCATAGGCACACCTGAGGGGGAGGAAACCAGGAAAACAATCCAGCTTAGCCAGGTGGGTCCAAATAAGGGTGGGATTGAGCCTAGAGCGGTGGTGGTTTTAAAGTTTGGGCACATCCTTGGCATCACCTGGGAACTTGCCAGAAATGCAAATTCTCAGGCCCCACCAGATACTTGCTGAACCAGAATGTCAGGGGGTGGGGCCCAGGAATCTGTATTTTCCTAAACTTTCCAGGTGGTTCTTTGAAATCAGTGATTGTCAGATTTTAGTTTCCATAAGGATCTCCTGGTTAGCCTTGTTAAACTGTCTCTCCTGACTCAGCAGGTGGTGGGGCCTGAGATTCTGTGTCTACTAATAAGAAGCAAGGGTCTGACTTTGCCAACTCTGAGATAAGTGACCTTAACATGGAAATAGTCTGGACTCTGAGGCCAGGTGAGCCATAAGCTGGTGAAACCTACTCTCTCTCTTTGAGCCTCAGTTTTCTTGTCTGTGACATGGAGACAAATCCTGTTTCCTGCACGTGGTGGTTGGGAGGCACTCAGCCCAGGCCCTGGCACCACTGCGTGTCTGTGGAACTTTCAGTTTGCCCCCTGGAAAGTCCATGAGAGGACCTGTGTCTTCTTTCTTAAGCCTACTTTAGAACCTGGTACAAAGACTTTTCCAGGGGGCTTACAGAATACCTCAGCTTTTTTTTTTTTTAGTTTTTGGCCAGGGCTGGATTTGAACCCATCACCTCCGGTATATGGAGCCAGTGCCCTACTCTTTTGAGCCACAGGCGCTGCCCCAATACCTCAGCTTCTGATAGAAAATCACCTGTGGGTCAGGGCTGAGGGAGGCCCAGAGTGGGGAGAGAGGACAGCAGACCTTCCTGTTAGGAGGCTACCAAGCCCTGAGATTGGGGTGAACTGCTGAGGTCATGGGTGGTTAGTGACCTGGAGATGCATATTATGGGTCCCTGGTGCCTTCCTGGCACCAGTGACTCAGGCAACTGAGCCCAAGTGTGTGGAACCCCGTGATGGATGCCAGGCCATGGGGAGCAAGCCCTCAGCAGCTGTGTCCCTGAAAGGAAGGCGGCTCGGTCTCCCTCTGTGCTCCCCCCACCCCATTGCCTCTCTCTTCCTCACAGTCTTTTCCGCCAGATCCCAGTCATCAGCGCTCAGCTGCTGGGGCTTTTTTTAGCCATCTGCAGGGCTGGGTGAGGGTTTAGCAGCGTGCTGTGATTTTATCAATGAAGGAAGGGCCCAGCCCCACTTGTCCCCAGGCCTGGAGGCCGGCTGCCTCAGTGCACAGCCTTACATGGGCACCCTCACAGGGCAGGGAGCTGGGCTGGAAGCTTCTTCCAGGAACTGGACTCTTTGTAGCTCCTTGTACCTCCATGATAATGGATTTCCATGAATTGGGGCTGGAGGGACTCCCGGCATCTTGTCTCTGTCTTTCTCACTTTTAAGTTCCAGATGTATCACTGCCTTGCTGGGGGACAGGGCGAGGACAAAAGGATGTCCAGGAGCCCTTTCTCTGGGCATTGCTACCTGAGAAGAAAAGTCAGTGGCTGTCCCTTATCCCTCATCCCTCATCTGGGTGTGGCCACAGCCTGGGAGCCCTGGCAGAGGCTGGTGGCCCTTGGCCCACTCGTGATAAGGCTTTGGCCTTAGTCCAAGGTCTATAGAAATGACAGTGGCTGGGCTTCCTGGAGGGCTGTGCCCTCCACCTCTTTGCAGTGTGCTTCCCCCCTACTCAGTCCTTTCTGCCTGTTTCTGCTCCACAACACTCCCCCCGGCCTTGCAACCCCAGCCCCAGCACATCCTGCCCTGCCAGAGCCCTCTCTCCCCAAGTGAGAGAGAAGGAGCCAGAGCTGTCTTCTTCTCCTCAGTCCTCCAGCCTCTGCTTCCGGAGATGCAGCCCCTCAAAGCCCTGGAGGGAGGGAGGAGTGCTGATGGGGAAGGGGCTAGGCTGTGGCCAGCAGTCAATGCTCCGGGGGGCCTTTGGGATGGGGTTTTGGGAACAGTGCTCAGCTTGGGGCCTGCCTCTGGCCTGAGCTCCTGGAAAGCTGCCCTCTGGCCTCCAGGCCTGGGGACAAGCCGAATTCTGAAGCACTGTCTCTCCAGCTCTGGCCTCAGCTGGGCTCCCTACTCACACTCCAGAAACCTCCACCTCTAACAAATTGGGGAAAGTTGACTCCATGTGCTGCAGTTTCTTCTAGCTCTGCCACTTGGATTGAGACATTGAACTTGTACAATGGCTGGGGGGAGGTCTGTGTTCCTGTTGAGCTCAGGCCTGCTATGGAGTATTTGCTCCATCCACCACTCCCTCTGCATCCCCAGGGCCCCCCAGTTTCTCCCCCCCCCCCACAGGGAGACCAATTGGTCTCTATTTCACAAAAGAAAACAGGCTGAGAAGGGAACCTCTGGCTAGAAGTTGGAGGAAGATAAATTTAGGGTGATAGGCTAGGAATCAGGGCTCTGTTCTCAGCTTCATGCAGGGTGTGTGCACACACATGCAAAACCCGGTAACCTCACAGCCTCCTCTCTCTGAAAGAACTCAGGATCCATGTTTCTGTTTCTTAGGTAGGGAGAAGGTGGTGGTAAGTTATTTCCCCCTTTATTTTAATTGAGATGGAGTTAAGGAAGTCCAGAGAACATGTGTGGCTCTCCAGGGTCACTCAACAGATGGAGAGGGGGCAGCCATTAGCTTAATGAATGGCAGATGGGTTTGTGTCTGGGTTTTCTATCTTCTAGCAAACACCTAGCTCCTCCACTAGAACCTCTGGCTTGGGAGCGGGGTGTGGTGGAGGGAACAGAGCTCGCCTTGGAAGGAAAACTTACCTGGAAAACCACAAGGAGAGCCACTACCAGCACACTTTTCATTGGTTTCCCTGTAAGAGACAAGGCGAGAAAGTTATTGCTTGGCAGAGACAACTCTTTGTTATTAAAGAAAGCAGTGTGTGTGTGGGGGATGCTGTTGGGAACTTTTATCCTGAGCTCCAGGCACTGCGTTTGCTGAAAGAGAACATCAGAACCAGATTGTGCCTTTGAACACCTGGCCCACTGCCCGGCATCCCTGTCCTCACCTCCTTCTCTTCCTCCTCCACTCCCAGGTCCCAGAAAGAAGCAGCAGCAGAATGTGGGGCAGCCCTTCCCACCCCCTGTCCTGGCCCATCTGGGCTTCTTCTAGAGTTGGAGAGTCTCCAGCTCAGATGCCCCCCTTAAGACGGAACTTCAACTGATCCTGACTGGAGGATCTGAGTGCCCCACACCCCAAGATGTTGGGGAAGAGGAAGGTGGTGGTAGGTGTGTGCACACATGGCCTGCACTGCTTTGATGCCAGTAGCCACTGGCCTGGGGAGCATTTCCCCAGCATTTAGCAAGTGGGCAGCCACACATGAAGCCCTGAGTGTCTACTGAAGGAGGCAGGCTGAGGAAATGAGACGATTTCACAACACCCCCTCACTGAACTGACACTCCGTGCTGACAGCTGGTTCACTGCGCCCATACCCTTGGCCTGCCTCTGTGGCAGCGATCTCTTCCCTTTTACCCAGACCACTGCCAGGACCCAGGAGGTGCCCAGGAATTCTGTACTGATGAATAAATGAAGGATAACTCAATAAATGAATAAATGAATGCTTGACCTTCTCCCGAAGAAGGGACCCTCAAGATGACCTGAGGTGACAGGTGGGAGGGCCACTATTCCCTGACAGTGTTCACCCTATAAAGTGTGCACATATATTTTCTCTCCTTTAATTTGTTTTCTAGTCTGAGGCCTTGGGTGAACAGGAGAAGGGCAGCAGGGTCTGCTTTGGGGAGGGATGTGCTCTGGAAATCAGGAGGCTTCCCTTGGCTCTGAGCAGCTGATGGAGACCCCAGGTTAGCCTAAGGCCTGGGCATGATCAGTTCAGCTCTGTGGACTGAGCCTTGGACTAACCTCTGTACTCTAACTCTCAGTTTCCAGCCAGAGCCTGGCCCACGAGAGAGTCAGTCATTGACATGCCACGTGTGAATGCTAAGGCAGGATCTGGAGGCCTCAGTTGGGACAGGAAATGCAGGGAGCGTGCCCCAGACACCTTCTGGAGGCTGGGGAAGATGGGCAAGCCGGGCAGTCTTGTGTCCTTGGCAACAGCACCACCTGCTGGAACCCTAACCATATGGCACCCAGGCTTATGCTCATTGGTGCCCTTAGGGTGTGAGGAAGGCCAGGGATTCTGAGCCCCGGAGCTCCCAGGGGAGGGAAGCAGGACATCAAGCTGAATGAATGAATAAATAAATAAATAGATAGATATTTCTCCCACCTCAAGCAAGTTATACTGCACACTACTGCCAGGTTGGTCTTCCTGAAGCACAGTCCCAATGCCAACCCCCTCCCATGCTTTCCTCCTAAATGCTGAGGGGCTGGACCCAGCTCTAAGGATGAGGCCTGAGCATTTGAAGTCCTGTTGGATCCTGTGCACAGCTGCCCTCTCCTCCCCGCTTCCTTGGTGATTGCCCCTGGGCTGGAGTCCACACATCTACATGTAACCATATTTTCTTCAAGGCTCAGTGCACTGCTGACTCTCCACTGACTCATACTGATGTGAAGTGCTCGAGGTTTCTTTCAACACGTAAATATCTTTTGGTTACTCTAGAGAAAGCCCGCTCTGACTGTCAGTGAGAAATGAAAAACCTCAAAGTTTTGATAAGAAACTGGGGAGCAAGAACTGTGTTTCTATTTCACTCTGATGACTCCTCCTCCCGAACCCTTTCTCATCTTTTTGCTAATGTTGGAGGGAGAGGGAGTTGGGGGTGGGGTGGAGGAGGATGGGGGGGTGCCACGCAGCGGGGGGATATTCTGGCCTCTGTGTGTGTGTGTGTGTGTGTGTGTGTGTGTGAGATGGTGGAAAAGCAGGCATCTTGTAGGCCCAGAACAGACAGTTTTCAGGAAAGGAAAGCAGGGGAATTTAAGGGAACTTTGGTGTGTGGCAGAGGAGCCTGGCCAGTGGCCATGAGTCAGATCATTCCTGTCTGTTACAAAGTCATAAAGCAACTGGTCTTGGCAGCAGCTTGGGTGAGACCAATGAAGTTGGGAATCTCAGGGGTTAAGGAGTGGTTGATCTTGGCATTGGGTGTTTTCTGAGCTCTTGAGTTTTCAGTAATGGTTGTCATGGGAAGAAAATTCCCTAGAATCCCAACTCGAGCCCCCAACATGAGAAACTTCCCACCTGGAAGGAGAGGATTGCTAGCTGCCTGCTTCCAAACTGTAAACCATTTTCACATTGTTCCAAGGCGGAGGCTGGCTGGGAAATCATGGCTGCCTACCAGCCAGCTCCAAGAGCCCCTCCACCCCGAATTTTTTCTCTCTGAACTTCCTCACCTGCTAATACAACTTTTCTCTTTTTTTGAGAGAAGCAGGGAAGCCTTAAGAGACTTGGACAGGAGGTAAGAGGCCTAGGGGATCCCTCTTTTAGACAATAGGCGGGAATGGGTGAGAGTTGGCTGGGTCTTGTAGTCACTGTAAAATCAGCTGTAGTGTCCAGTAATAGAAATGTCTATTGAGCTCTCACTGTGTGTCAAACTGCATCTGTGATCTCATTTCATCCTCATGAAAGCCTGTGAAACAGGTATTACCATTATCCCCACTTACTGAAGGACAGCACATAGCTTTCCCGGGGTCACATGACTGACTAGGAGTGGAGCTGGGCTTTGAAACCCTTCCGACTCTGGAAACCACACTCTTAACCACACTTTTGTGCTGCCTCCTAGTTTTTATGCATCTTTCTGTCATAACATCTTGACAGCTATGCTTGGTGTAGTCATTCTATATTACAGAAAATAGAGGCCCAGAGAGGTTAAGGCAAATGCCTGGGGTCACACAGCTGCTAAGAGATGGACCTGAGATTTGACTGGGACAGCAAGGCTTGGGCTGTCACTAGTGCATGGTTATGTTTCTGAGCCTGCTGTGTGCAGGGTCTTCTGTGAGCATGGAGGGGACACTCTCTCTCACATGCCATTGGCCACCTAGTTCTATTGCTTCTGTCTCCTGACACTTCTCTAGCTGGACCTACTTCTGCCCTGATGTAAGGTTTTGCTGCCAGAGGGTTCCTTCAGCAACACAAATCTCTTCCTTTAATTCACCTAATTGAAAAGTATCTTTACTGATTCCCCATTACTTTCAGGGTAGCCCAAACTCCTTAGTGATGCCACACCAAATTTTAAGGGTTGGCCCTCCCGTACCTGTGCCCACCCTCCCTCCCTTCCTCCTTGGTATGCCAGCTTCTTGTCACCTCCCTCAGCTTGCTTCTTTCTGGTCTCTATTACTTTAGTCAAAGCTGACCCTCAGTAAGCCTGCAGGATGAGTCCCCAGACACCCTGCTTGGTTGGGGCTATGGTGTTTTTAAAATATTGAACTTGGATGACCTTAGCTGTGACCAACACACACTCTCTAGCTCCCTCTACTCTCCTCCAATTCCTACATCTTATTTATGCTCCTTCCCTCTTTTAGATTGTCAGCCTCTGGTGGGAGTAGAGTGTGTCATCCCTGCTACATCCTAGGCCCCTTGCTCTTGCTCCTCCTCGTTGGGCTTGACAACTCCTATACACCCTTCAGAACCCACTATAAATACTCCTCCGGCCCATGTTCACTATTCCCTTCTCGTCTTGCCCTTCCCCTTTCCAACACCGAATCTCACTCTGTGACAGCAGCTTAGGGACACATGTGTCTCTCTCCCCACCAGACTGGTCATCCTGAATTCCTCAAGGCCATGATAGTTGACTGGAAGAAACTATCCCAAGCCCAGAGGAGAGATTTTTCCAACAGCTGGTTCAGGCTGCAGCATTCCTCCACCCCCCACCCCCAATCCTAGCTAAGTTTCCAGAAAGCCAGAAGAATTTGCCCCTGAATCCCTTCAGCATCCACCTCTGCCACCATTCGAGGCTGAGCTGTGAGACACAAGTCTCTCACAGGCTCGTTTTTCTTTGCTTTGCTTTTGAGAGTTCTGACTGAGGTCTTCGTCCTCACTGTTTGAAGGTGGGGAGGGTGCCTCCCGGCTGCTCATTCAAATCGTGAAAAAGACCAGCTCAGGCCTGCTGCGGAATTTTCACTTTGTGTAACAGAAACCTTGCCTCCTCACTCCCCTTCTGCTCCTCACTGGGCAGATGAAGCGCAGAAAAACCCTACTAACCCCTGCTAACGGCCCAGAGCCCGTTTTGAGCAAAGCTTCTCAGCGGCTTCCCCTTCTACCAGTATTTCGGGTTTGACCGTTGGCACTCTCAGGTTGAGTGAAGAACTAAGAACATCCCTTCCTCCTGGTCCAGAGATTGCCCTCCTTCCTGCATTAAAGCCTAGAAGTCTAGCACCCCTAAACGCAGGCCAGTGGGGAGACACTCAGTGGTGTGCTAGAGCTGCTTCTGCACATCTTCCCAGCTCAGTCATGAGGACAGCTTGAAATCAGGAAGGGCAGGAGAATTTACACAATGGAAATTGGCAAGTGCTACACATGCAAAGCCTTTCCTTCACCCTGGGGAGCTGCTTTTCAAACATGCAGCAGCACAGCCACTGGGCCATGCTTGGTTTCCTTCACAGAGGTCAATACGAAAGGCTGGGGGCAGGGTCTCCTGTGTTTGACATTTGTACTCTGAGACTGTGGTCAGTAGGAGTGGATGTCTGGGAGGTGGGATTAAAGAGCAGAATGGGTGGGAAGAGAGAAAGTTGGAAGAGGTTTTCAAAAACTAAATCTTGAGTTCCTGATACCATTCATTCATTCATTCATTCCACAGACATTTTCTGCCCACATCCCTAAAGCATCCTGGGAGGCAGAAATGAAAGAATCAGACTCTGCTTTTCAGGAGTCACAGTCAGTGGGTAGAGTGACTGCTTGATCCTTCCACAGCTGTTTGCTGGGTCCAGACTCAGGGCAGGTGGGGAAGGAAGACATGAAGTCAGGGAGGCTGTGGTGTGGCGGGGAGGGGTGTGAGGACAGCGCCAAGGGAACCTTCACTTTTTAAAGCCAACCCCTTGCGGCTTTGAGGCTGCCGTGGTGCTCTGCTTGCTGGTGAGATGAACCATCTATGAACTGGCCTTCTGAGCCTCAGCTGGGTCTGACTCTGCAGCTGAGATTTGTAAATGGGGCAGGATAAACCACTCAGAACACTCTCAGCGCTTCCCTGGCACCAAACTGAGGTTAGCCAAGAGGAAGGACTTTTCAAAGAGCAGAGCGGTCTGCCTAAGTAGAGGGAGTGAGGCTGGCTCACGGGCAGGGGCTGTGCTGACTCCTCCTCCAGGCTGAATGCCCCTTCCATCCCACTTCGTGCTGCCTGCCCACATCTTAAGTTGCAGGAGGAAACAGCAAAGCCAGAGCAAAGCTGGTACAAAGGCGGCAGGACAAGCAGCAGAGAAGAAAGCGCCACAGCTCGTGTTTGCCTTGCCTTGTGCCCTTCACACAGCGCTGGCACCTCATAGCCCCAGCAGGACAAGATTCAGATCCCTGCTAAGCAGGGAGAAAACTGCGAATCAGGGGATTCTGAGTCCTCTGAGGAGATTTCCCCCTGTTGAAACTGGTCACCAGAAGTCCCAGAGGTCCTCACCCATGGCCACCAAGCTGAGAACAGCTTCTGGCTTGTTCATCATGCCCAGTCCAGCTTCTGGCACGCGAGGGAGTCTGTGGGCAACTTTCTTATTCCCTGCTGTGTCAGAAACACATGACTTCAGCCTCCTTGTCCTTCCTGGCACCAAAGGCTGTCCCCTCTTTTGGGTCTGAAAGGACAGGTGCACCCCTCCTAGGACAACAGGGTGACATTCTCTGGAAGCAGCCACCAATTCCCACCAAATCAGATCTGCTTTCTCCTGGAGGCCTCCCTGTGCTTTCCACCCCAATTCTCTACTCCCATTCCACAGGGTCAATCTGGGCACCCAAGACCCCGGTTCTCCCACGAGATGGCTCACTCACCCAGGTCCATGACGCTCTGGGCAGTGAACCCACACAGGAAGGCTGTGCTGAGCCTCGCGCTACCCCCGTCTGGGGAGGAAGTGGTGGTACAAGCCCCTTTTAACCTCCCCGCCCCTCCCACTCTGCTCCTCCCTCCAGCCCTCCGTGCCTCACCAAGGGCCTCTCTGTGCCTTTTGGAAGAAAGCGGTAGGAGAAAAGTGACAGAGTGACAGCCCTCAGTCGCTGGTCACAGGATCCTGAATCATCAGGTCATTTACATCCAAAAATCCCCCTGTGCCACCTGGCAGAGGCTAGAGGAGGGGCAATGTATTGATTCAACAAATGTTTATGGTATGAATATCACATGCCAAGCTGTGGGTTAGATGCCGGGGGAGGCGGAGATGAGTGAGAGTCATGTCCCCATCTTGCCTTGCTCAGTGCCCACAGGAGGCTGCAGTTCCCAAGCTACGGTCTCTCTGGCTTCTGGACAGATTTAGCCCATGGGAGGCACTGACACGTGATGGAAGGTAGAAGGGAAGGGACAAGCCAGGACGTGTGTGGTTTTTTCTTTCTTGTCTTTTTTTTTTTAATGACATCTTTATTAAGATGTAATTCACGTATTATAAAACCCACCATTCTAAAGTGTACAATCCAATGGTTTTTGGATATACAAAACAAAACATACATAAATATACAAAATATACATAAATACACCAAAACCATTGAATTGTACAACATTGTTCAACCTTTTGATTCTAACCATCCTAGTGAGTATACGAAAGCTAGCAGAGTTGTGCAACCATCATGACAATCAATTAAATTAATTAATTAATTAATTAATTTTATTAAATGGTAACTGTATACACTAATGCATTTATGGGATATAATGTGCTGATTTTATATACAATTTGGAATGCTTACAAATCAAACTGGATAACATAGCCTTCACCTCACTTGGGTTAAGACATTTATACTCTACTATGTCTGTGTTAAGACATTTATACTCTACTCTTAATAGATTTGACATGTACCCTTGCAATATGCACCATAGTGAGGCCCCACGGATTACCCTCCCTCCCTGCAACCTCCTGTCTCCCCTCCCGTCTCCCCTCCCCCTCCTCCTCCTTCTTCATCCCGGGCTATCAGGCTATTGTTGTGTTTTATCTTCCATATGCAACAAACAATTTTAGAACACTTTTTTCTCACCCTCTCCGAGAACCTCCGTAATCATGAGCAGTAACCTCTATCTCCCCTACGCTCCTCTCTACAGCCCTAGGCAACCACAGATCTGTTTTCTATGAATTGCCTATTCTGGACATTTCACAGAAACAGAAGTATACAGTATGTGGCCTTCACATCCAGTTTCATTCCATGAGTTAGCTTGTTTTCAAGGTTTACTCATGTGGTAGCTGGGGTCAGTTCTTCATTCCTTTTTATGGCTGCATAAATATTCCACTGTCTGGATATACCCCAATTTGTTTATCCATCGTTAGTTGGACATTTGGGTTGTTTCCACTTCTTAGCTGTTACGAATAATGCTGCGATGCATATTTTGCGTACAAGTTTTCGTATGGACAAATGCTTTCATTGTTCTTGGGTCTATGCCTCGGAGAAGAATTGTGGACTCGTCTGTTAATGATATGTTTAACATTTTGAGGAACTGCCAGAATATTTTTCAAAGTGGCTGCACTGCATCATTTTACATTCCCATGAATGATGTGCGAGGGTTTCACATCCTCAACAAAACTTGTCTAGCTTTTTGATTCTACCCATCCGAATGGGTATAATATGGTACCTCAACTGTGTTTTGATTCATATTTCTCTAGTGACTACTGATGTTGAAGGTCTCTTCTTGTATATTCTTTGTATATTTTTCTTTGGAGAAATGCCTATTTAAATCCTTTGCCCATTTTAAGAACTGGGTTATTTTTTATTGTTGAGTTGTATGAGTTCTTTACATATTCCTGATACAATCCCTTATCAGATGTCTATTTGTAAAGAGTTTCTCCCATTCTGTGGAGTTTTCATTTCATTTCTTTTCTTTCTTTCTTTTTCTTTTATTAAATCATAACTTTGTATATTGATGCATTTATGGGGTTTAGTTTTTCACTTTCTTGATGGTGTCCTTTGAAGCACAAAGGTTTTAATTTTGAGGTTCAATTTAATCTATTTTTTTTTTTTTTTTTTGCTGCTTGTGCTTTTGGTGTCATAGCTAAGAAACCATTGCCTAAATTAAGTTCATGAGGATTTATTCCTATATTTTCTTCTAATAGTTTTATAAGTTTCAGCTCTTAAATTTAGCTCTGATGTTTTGTGTATGGTGTGAGGTAGAAGGTAGAAGTCCAATTTCATTCTTTTGTATAAAGATATCTAGATTTCCCCAGCACCATTTATTGAAAAGGCAAACTATTCTTTCCCTATTGAACTGTACTTTTTTTTTTTTTTTTGCAGTTTTTGGCTGGGGCTGGATTTGAACCTGCCACCTCTGGCATATGGAGCCAGCGCCGCGCCCTACCCCTTTGAGCCACAGGTGCCACCCAGAACTGTACTTTTTTTTTTTTTTTTGAGACAGAGTCTCACTTTGTTTTCCTCAGTTGAGTGCCATGGCATCATAGCTGACAGCAACCTCAAACTCTTGGGCTCAAATGATTCTCTTGCCTCAGCCTCCCAAGTAGCTGGGACTACAGGTGCCTGCCACAATGCTCTACTATTTTTAGAGACTAGGTCTTACTCTGGCTCAGGCTGGTCTTGAACTTGTGAGCTTGGGCAACCCACCTGCCTCCTTCAGTCTCCTAGAGTGCTAGGATTACAGGCATGAGCCATGGCACCTGGCCCTGAACTGTAAGCTTGTTGAAAATCAATTGATCATAATCTGAAGGTTTACTTCTGTGAAAATCAATTGATCATAAATGTGATGGTTTATTTCTGGACTCTCAATTCTATTTTATTGATCTATACATTTGTTCTATGACAATATCACTGTCTTGATTATTGTAGCTTTGTAGTAAATTTTGAAATTGAAATGTGTGACTGTGCCAACTTTATCCTTCTTTTGAAAGATTGTTTCGGTTAATCTGGATCTCTTAATTTTCCAGATGAATTTTAAGGTCAGCTTGTCAGTTTCTGCAATGAGATCCACTGGAATTCTGATAGAGATTACATCGAATCTGTAGATCAATCTGGGGAATTTTACCATCCTAACAATCTCTTTTAGTCCACAAACATGGAACATCTTTTCATTTAGTTAGCGCTTCTTTAATTTTTCCCCATGTTTTGTAGTTTTCAGTGTGCAAGTCTTTCACTTCTTTTGTTAAATTATTTTATTCTTTTTCATGCTATTGTGAATGGAACTGTTTTCTTATTTTAATTTTTAGATTGCTCATTGCTAACCTATGGAAATATGATGGATTTTTGTACGTTTATATTGTAACTTTCAATCTTTTTTTTTTTTTAAGGGCAATGCAAATGTTCTCAACTTACAGAGTGGTAATGGTTGCACAACTCTGAGAATACTAACAATGATTAAATCGTACACTTTATATATCATTTTGTTGTTGTTGCTGTTTTTGGCCAGGGCTGAGTTTGAACCCACCACTGCTGGTGCCCTACTCCTTGAGACACAGGTGCTGCTTGCAACTCTCAACCTTGCTAAACCTACTTATTAGTTCTAATTTTATGTATGTGTGTGTGTGTATGTAATTCTTAGGATTTTCTAAATATAAGATTATGTCATCTGTGAATAGAGATAGTTTTACTTCTTTTCTAGTCTGGATACCTTTTATTTCTTTTTCTTGTCTAATTGCTTTGGCTAGAGCCTCTAGCACAATGTTGAATAGAAGTGGTAAGAGTCACTGTCTTGTTCTTGATCTTAGGGGGAAAACATTCAGTTTTTCATCATTTAGTATCCTGTTGTGGGTTTATTATAAATGACTGTTAACATATTCCCTCCTATTCCAAGTTTATTGGATTTTTTTCAAATGCTATCCCTATGTCCATTGAGAAGATTGTTTTTTTGTCCTTTATACTATTAAATATGGCATGTTACATGGATGGATTTTCATATCTTTCTTTCTTTCTTTTTTTTTTTT